ACACATAGGTGGGAGATTATAGCAGATAACAAACTAGACAAACATCTTTGCCCTCAGAGCTTACAGGCTAGGGTAAGGAGACATAATAAAGTATGATACACTGCCTATCAGATAATGTGTCTGTCCAAGGGGAAATGAAGTAGGAAATGGGGAGAGAGTGCTAGGAGGGTGTTCAGTCTTAAAGAACTTGAGAAATGACAATCAAGTCACGACTGGAGGCTATAAGAGGGGAGAGGGAGAGAAGCTGTCTGGAGGGACTGGAGAAGGGAACCCAGCAAAGGAAACTGAAATTATGCAGGCCCAGGCTGGGAGCAGGCCAGGTGCTCTTGAGAAATATCTCCATCCAGCAAGAGGGATGAGTGGAGGGAGTGCATTGGTGGCAGGAGAGCCATTCCTTATGGTGAAGAAGCTAGCAGAGCTGCAGGTGTACCTGCGACAGGCAGTAAACATACTAAGCACACAGGCCACACGCAGGTCTAGTGCTGCCCCTGAGTTACTAGAGGCACAGCTTTAGGCACACCAGAGACTTCCACTGAGCCTTAAAATGGAAAGAAGATAAAAATATTCTTTATTCACAGCTTTCTTTTTTGGTACTGGGGATTGAACCCAGGGGCGCATGACCTCTGAGCCATATCCCTAATTCCTAGCCCTTGAGAAAGGGTCTTGATAAATTGCTTAAGGCCTTGCTAAATTGCCAACGTTGCCTAGAATTGGAGATCCTCCTGCCTCAGCCTCCTGAGTTGCTGGGATTACAGGCATGTGCCACCATGCCCGGCCTAACTTTGTTTTTTCTAATTACAAATGCTGATAGTAGAAAAATTGGAAGACCTTGTAAAAATACAAAGAAGAAAATAAACTTCCCTACAATGCTGGCACCCTGAGGTAACCATAGTTAACAGTGTGGGCTGTTTTTCTGTCTCGCATATTTTGTTTTCACTTGCCTAGGGTATAAATTATTTGATGCTACCTTAACTGTGAGTTGCAGTGACCCTGAGCACCACCCCACGCACCTCACTTCTGAGCACTCCTAATGGGGCATGTCACATGATGTCACTGCAGTTGTGAGCAGGGTTCGTGGAGTCCACAGAAGGATATGGGGATGCTCCTTGTAGTGTCCTCAGAGTCCATGCATGGCTGCGGCCTCCTCTGGTGCCTCTGGTTTGGAGCAGATGTGGA